CCCCCCCCCCTCCCGAGATCTTTTGCAGCCCTCATTTTCTATGATTTTGTCATTCTGCATTGCCTCCATTCCCGCACAGACCAGAAGTGGCTGACTCCAATGCCTCTCCCCCCGCCCCAAATGCCCCCCTATTGGTGTCTGGCTCGCCTGCCTCCCGGGCTGCAAGTCGCCCGCCAGCCCGAGGATCACGGAACCGCAGAAAACTAGGGCTGGATGGAAGGGACCTCAGGGGGGCGGCTATCTAGTCCCACCCTCTGCTCCAAGCCGGACCATCCCCAACTACATGCCCCCGGCCGTGCTTTAGTATGCGTGTCACTGCCCCAGCGGCTTTCTTAAGCCTCGGGCAGTAGCAGGCAAAAAAAAAAAAAAAAAGTCCAAATAGGATTTAGCCTAAGCTGGAGGAGATTTGGAAAGGTTTCAAAGATCAGACTGTATCAAAGGCTTATGAAGGCCTCGTTAGCCGCCCCACTATAATAGCATGGCAGGCTATCCCATTGGAGGCACCGACGTCTGTATTATTTCCCGGTGACAAGCGAAAGGGAGATAGACTTGAACAGTTTCCACCGAGGAGCTGGGCTAAGTTGCATATAATGAGCAAACGCCACATGTAGCCATTATGTCCCTCTATTCATTCCCAATCACTGCCATAACTCCCGGACTAAACGATGATGGGCGCTGAATGCTACACAATGCCCGGCTCATATTAAAATACATTTAAGACCGATCCCTCCTGATGCCCTGTTCCGCCTATTGAGAGGATTTGCTGTTTTGTCCTCCGAGGGCCTCTCTGGGAAGCAACAACCAGTCTCGTTCCAGAAGAACAAAATAACAGCATGGGGCTGAAACCTGGCACGGACCTGGGGGGGACTGAACCATCTGCCTATGAAGACGTAGCGCAGCCCCGCGCCAAGTGTGACTCGTCCCGCGATGCAGGGGGAAAGGGGACTCGCTGCTGCACGTGCGTTGCACGGGGCTTGGATTTGCCCCTTCTTTCTGCTTCCCTCTGGTGATCAAACACTTCAGTGGGGTGGGGGGCAGCGGGGGCTAAGCTGCTACCCCCCCGCCCCTCGCATGCCCTGCCTGGGGAAGGCGTGGGGAGCGGGGGGGGTGTCTTTTAGCACCTCTGGCACCAGGCTGGGTCCGAATAGGGGGACCCAAGGGCTGCACTGTAAAGGTGCTACCTTGGTATGGCAGATCTCGGCTGTGCTGAGCGC